CATCTGTGTCTATCTCAGCTGCTTCCCTTCAAAGTATTTGTATTAGTCAGCTATTGCTGTGTAACAAAGCACCTCAAACCTCTATAGCTTAAAACCACAATCTGGGGAAGTGTCCTCTACCCATAATAAATCCAGGAAGGCATGTGGATGTAAGGAGGGTTGAAGGATCATTCAACCTGCCACAATTTGTGATTTATGATTAATATTTTTATTTCTCCCTCTTCACTAGAATGTAAGCTCTGAGCAAGCAAGGGACTTGTCTGTCTTATGTAGCATTACCTGATATCCCCAGCACCTAGAACAGTGTCAGGCATGTGACATATTCAATCAGCCCCTTATTATACATTTGAATGAATTCCTGAACCAGAATTCCACGTTGAAATCCAAGCAATTGTCCTATAAAAGCAACACGAAGTTGGATTTTCAGAAATGGCTTTTGTTGAAGACTGACTCAGATACAAACAAAATTTTGCTTAAAATGGAGTCTTTTATTAATCATGTACAACTTCATACCTTGTTAGCAATTGTTTTGGACTTGACCTGAGAATTACAACAGCTACCCTGTGATCCCAAAAGGCAGAAAAAGCCCATGAAAGTGGCTCTGACCAGGACAAACACTATGCAGGACATTCTCTACCCTGGACATGGCAGAGCTGATAAAGTTCAGAGCAGAGCCTAGCCCTGAGCTCCCCTAGTTCCAAAGCTGTTAATCCTTTAGAAAAGGGAATGGGAGGATGGCAGAAGGTAACCAGAGGGTAAATTACAAAGACTGATGGTCTGTCCCTTTCGCCTCCAAGGACAATGGGGCCTACATGAGGTGAACTGTCATGGAAAGCATTTAGGAACATGAGAGAACCAGCACCCTTTACAGTGAAGAGGCCCAGCCTAGCCAGTGACTGCCCGCTATAGCTTTGGACAAGGGTATTGATCTCTCTGTGNAAAAGAAAAAAAAGACCCAGGTACATTCAAGGAGCTGTAAGTGGTTCGGTCCAGTGGGGACACAGGCAGAGGGGTGGGGGGTGGGGTGGGGGAGAGTGATACCATGAGGCTGGAGAACTAAAGGGGCAAGACTAGCAATGATCCCCAGAACGAGGGACTGTTGCTGGTCTTATGCCCTGTAGAGCAGCATTTCTCAAGCCTTAATGGCACACAGAGTCCCTGGGGATCTTGGTAAAATGCAGATTCTGCTTCAGCATTTTTGAGGCAGCCTGAGATCTGAAGTGCTAACAAGGTGATGCCAACACTGGTGGTCCATGGATCACACTTAGTGGAGTGAGAGTGTAGATAAGAAGGGAGCACTGAAGGGATGCTGGGTCTCTTTAAAGAACTCCTTTTACGAGGTGTGATCAAAACATACGGTGAATGCTGCTGCTGAGTGCCATCCAATGGAAAGGCAGGGATCTTCAATATGGGAAGCGGCACGTTGAACCTTAGTAACAGTGTGTGACAGTTTCAACTTGTTTGGTGCAGTCAGTTGGGTGTGAGCTACGGTTGAGAGAAGGTATGTTTTAAAGTGTGCCGTAAATCATCCTCCATCATGACAATGCTCTGTGTCACACATTGCTTCTGGTATATGGCAATTTCTGTCAAATAAAAATGGTATGTCCTCATCCACCTTATTCATTGGACCTGGCACCATGTGACTTCTGGCTCTTCCTCAAAGTTCAAATGACCACAAAAGGTAAACATTTTGAATTGATTCAGGACATCAAGGCAGCCATGACAGCGCAACTAAAGATATTCAAGAAAGAGGACTTTCAGAACTGCTTCAGAAAGTGGCAAGAACAATGGGATAAGTGTGTTCAAAGTGAGGAGGAGTATTTTGAGGGGGATTAATGGCAATGTGTCTTTTACTGTAATAATTTTTTTTTATTTAAACATTCACTGTAGTTTTTGGTAACACCTCGTATCTCCATCAGTGTCATAGCAACATTATATAAGTGGCTCAAAGTAATCTGGGATGAATGTCTTTGCCTTCCCACTCACAAGAGCACAAGTACTCAAGTTTAACTGCATCATAAAAAAAGAAAAGTACAAAATTGTTGAAAATAGATGTGGCAGGTTTGTGAGAACATCCTTCGGGTATATCAGAAACAATCCAAGTTGTACACACTTCTCATTCTTCAAGGAAAGCAAAATAAAGTGATCCTTGATGTTTGTTTTGGATCTACTGTTCTTTGTTTCTGAGGGTCCTCCAAATTGATTTA